GGGGCTTCATAAAAACAGGAAAAGATCAGCCCATTTCTCAGAGAAGGGACAGAGCGGTGTGGAATAAAGGTAAACTATGTGAAAAATAATGCGTTTTTTTTTTTTTAAACGAAGCATTAACACATGTTGAACTGCACCCCATAAACACAATCAAGCCTAGAAAAAACCCAGTGAACCACCCCTTTAAGTATCCTGATTGTACAAAATAGTATTTTTTTTTTTTATTGCATTGATATGCATTGTACTGTGGCAGTCACAGTAACATGATAATGACCACTGGGGGCTCCACTGAGCCAATGCAGGAAGCAGCTAATTAATGTGCATGACAATTCATGGGTGTAAAACACATTTGTGTCCGAATACCTGCACTGTCCAATACAACAGACACAAGGGCTCTTTTAATGCTTGCCTGAAGCTCATTGGTTAACTGAAGACATGAGATGAATCTTTACTGTTATTTGCTATGCAAAGGGGGCGGAGCCAGGGAGAAAGTCTTCAGCTGTTTCCAATAGGAGCCTGATTGTGCTCCTGGGATATACAAATACAAGAACTTCCCTTGCCCAAATATGGTACTGTTGTTGATATGAAACTAAAAGAAGTACACAAGCTGAACAATCAGACAATTCTTTGAAATATTTCAGCTGCGTTGTGTTAAGTCGAGTGAGTCTCTCCTTCATATGTGACTTTCTTCATGTGCTGTCCAGGCCAGCATCTTTGATATGATCTCTTTATAAACAAGACTCAGTCCAGTGTACTTCACTGCTGGGAAGAGAGGAAAGTGCATTTGTGATGGGGTTGTACTGAATAAAAAGAACCTGATTTGCTTTGGAAGATAAACTGGGGCGGCACTTGGCTAAGAGTTCAACTGCGCATTTCTCCCACACACTCGTCTTTAAGGTGAACTTCAGAGAGAACATTCTTCTGTTCTCCCATTTTAGTAGTCTGTTTAAGAGTAGGGCAAGAATATATGTCATTGGGCTGCAAAAACACACACTTAAACACACACACACACACACACACACACACACACACACGCGCTCTAAGAGATCAAACAGCGCAGGTGTCTCCACTACCTCTGCAGTCCAAAGGCCCTGATGAGTCCATGTAGAGGTATTCCATGTATTCCTCTTTTGTCTTTGTCTGTCTGCAGAGTTAGTCAATTGTTTTGCGTGTTCAGAAGATATCGGGACTCATATTCCAGGCTTGTCTTTCTTTGGCCTCCCAGTAACCCCCCTTATAAACGTAAATAGTCTCTCCCGTCAGTCCATCCGTCCTCTGGTGGAACCACAGCGGCATGTAGCTTTCAAAGTCCTGTCCTGTAACGCAAAACAACAACATCACCAGGAGAACAGCTTGAACTGTGGCACAAACGTTGTGGTTGACAAATGGAATGTATAGTTTCATGTAGGGGTGTGCAATATATATCATCTACAATAATATCGTAATTGTTGTTTAAAAGATATGCGATTTGACATTATCGAGTATATCGCAAAAACGAAACAAAAACACACCCACAGGGTGCACGCATACGCTATAAGATGTAGGTTAGACTACGGCGCGGGCACATTTAAAGTGATTAGTCTATTAAAATTCATTTAGAATTCCCCCAAAATTCAAGATATGGGAATATGCCCCCGTATGACTTTTATATGTCTTTTATATTTATATCATATTATATATATTATATATATTTATATAGAGTACAGTTTTTTCTCCAAATATCAGTACGATTGCAAATGTGATATTGATTTTATAAAACAGTCCAATAAACAAGAAGTGAATATTAGTTTTTGCAGCAATGCAAATAATAACACCCCTAGTTTCATGGTTTTCAAAACTTCTACATCGACACAATGTCACAGAGATGTAACCATCTTGGACCTTGGACCTCCGCTCACCTTCATCGATGGCCTTAGAGGCCTCAGCTTCTCTCCTCCTCCTCCTAGCTCTCTGTTTTTCCTCCAGCCTCTGCTTCTCTACGTTGGCCTCGTCCCAGCGTCCCGCTTCCATCAGCCGCTGGTCTGGCCTCAGCCTGCTGTCCGTCCAACACACACCCTCCTCTTCCTCATTCAGGGTCAAAGCCAGAGCGGAGAAACAGTACATGTTCTCAGCATTCTCTCTGAGAGATAGAGAGGAGAAGAGAATGAGAAACAAATGCAAAAATGATCTGAGAATCTAACTTTATAATTTGATCTGCAAGGCCACCTTTAGTTAAGTGGGTAAGTAGGAAGTGAAGAAGGTATTTCTGCAGGTAGGCAATTTTGGTTTGTCAGTAATGAGTCTGGACTCTGGTAGGTATGCTGTTTAGACTGTAGGTACTTTGGCAGGTAAGTAGTAGAAGATACCAATGCAATCATTCTTTTGCCAACTCTGGTATTTCTCCTGCTCTTTTTCTAGCAAAATTAGCCCGATTCCGATGGTAATTGTTTCTCATGGGGACATAAGGGATTTTCAACATTTACAGGGGTTAGTTGGTGATTTTATTGCTGTCCAAATACAGAATGCCGGTGTTTTTCTCCCACCACCCGCGTACAAATCCCTGGCCGAATTACCTAGTGTTTTTTGACAAACAGCAAAGTTGTGTGGTAATTTAATTGCCATCCGAATCCACATATCTTGTTTACAAGATAAAAAAAATTTCTAAATTCAATGTTGAAATCCATTTTTGACCTCTGTATGGAAACTGTTGCACTTCGCTGTAATTTGCATGCATATTTATTTCTAAAAAATACTGAAATGCTAGAAAGTATTTACAAGAATAATATTTCATAACTGCTCCACCACAGCAAGTGGGAGCTATTAAGAGCAAAAAGAAGAGAAGAAAAGCATGTAAACATTTTACAAACAAACCTTTATTTGTAAAATGCAACTTTTTAGGAGGATGCACTACTTTTTGCAACACAACATTTTATAACTTTGATAAGAAAATCTTATTTTCCTGAATCATTTTGTCATGCTTCTTTGGTAATTGATCAAGCAGACTTGCTGGAATATTACATCTCCAAACAGTAATTGCGGAATTGATTAAGTTTTATAGGGGATGTACTCATTTATGCTGAATACTGTAGTTCTGCAGATAGTCTGGCAGGTAAGTAGGTAAGTAGCTACCTACATAATGAGCTACTTACCCAGCACACTAACTACTAAACTACCTTTAGACTTATGGCGCTTTTTCACTGCGTGGTACGACTCTGCACGGCACGGCTCGGCTCGGTTTGCGTTTCCACTGCAGTTTAGTATCGCTTTAGAGTGGGCGGGATTATTCACATGTCGTTACTTGCTCTGCCTCTACTGCCTCGACTCCTGAAAAACTTTTTCATTCTGCGTTGCCCCATCAAGCTCTCGCTGGATCCGCTCCTCTGCTATCAACGAGAGGAACGTCTGTACTTCCTCAACAGACAACGAAACAGCCACTTTTTGGTTGTTAAAAAATTGTTGTCAATTTGTCAAATTTGTCAAAAAGTTGTCAATCCTTCGCTGGCTGTGCTGGTGAACCGTACCGAGCCATACCATGCAGTGGAAAAGCGCCATTAGGTAGGTAATGCCATAGTACATCTTTAGTTCAGCATTTAGTTTGGTAGGTAAGTAGGTAGTCAACGAGGTAGTTGGCTCTGCAGGCAGGTAGTTTGGTCTGTCGGTAGTGAGTCTGGTAGGTTGTTTAGTCTGTAAGTTGTTTGGCAGGTAAGTATCTACTAGTGCTTTTTAACTTCTGCTGATTGACTGCTTCTCACAAAGAGTATTTCTTTACACTGTTTTGCTTTATTTATTAAGTACATATAAATACAAACACATGCATGTATATATTTCAGAAAAATAGGTTGTTTATTTATTAAATATATTTATTTATAATATAAATTATATGAATATAAATATAGACATGTAAATACATGTAAATATTTTCAAAATATATATACTGTATGTGTGTGTATATGTATACATAATAAATATACACAGAACACACACGTATATAATGCAAACAAAAACTTTTATTTTGTATGCGATTATTCGCGATTAATCGTTTGACAGCACTAGTATCTACCAATGTACTGTTACTACCACTTACCTGCAAAATGCAGTACCTACCTACTGAACAAACTACCTTTGTTTAGGTAGGTATTTAGTTTGGTTTGTAGGTAGGCAGGTAGGTCTGTCTATAGGGAGTTAGTCTGGTAGGAAGATTCAGTCGTTTTGAAAATTTGTTTGGTTGATAGGTAGGGTCAGTAGTTAGTTCACTTAGTATATGGAGGTAGGCCAGTACTTTATTGATTGACATTAATGCTGTGTCTTACGGTAGAGGGTATTTCTTCCACAGCAGTTTGGGTGTGAGCGTCTGATAGACAGTCTTCTGTTTGCCCTCAGAGCTGCTGCTTCCTCTGCTACTCTGCATGATCTTGGCGCTCTCCATCTTGTCATCCCATGTACCTGACAGGATGTAGTGGGCCTGGCTGTCACTGTCCTTCACCACCCCTGTGACCTTACAGTGGAAGAACAAGGAGAACAAGGATAACAAGCTCTGGGGTTGAACTATAGAAGCATGAAGAGACAGAGAGAGGGCAGAGCAGGATAGAAAGTTTAGCCATGACAAACATCATTAAGGGCTCTTATCTGCTGTCAGTATAACTCACAGATGAATCACAGCGGGAGGAACAGGGACGATTTAAGTCCAAAACATACCTTTCGTGGGACTTCCCTTGAAAAGTAACTGTACGGAGAGAACTTGAGCTGACAGGTCTCTTTGGTCCTGTGGTTGACTATGTCAATATCTCCTGACTGCAACAAAGAAAATAGAAGATGAAAAGAGAGAAATACCATATACCTAAAATCTGGGGGTCATGGAGGTATGATGTGTTTTTCTTTAATAAAGTCGTATTTGATATTGAACAGAAAACATGTCTTAAAGCCAAAACAAAGTCTGAATTTTTTAGTTAAAACTTCAAGGAATAGGTCATTTTGTCATCATTTACTCACCCTCATGTCGTTCCAAACCTGTATTCTTTCGTATGTTGGAACACAAAAGATGATATTTTGAAGAAGCAAACGGTTATTGGTCCCCACTGACTTCCATAGTAGGGAAAGAAATACTATGGAAGTCAATGGGGACCATCAACTCTTTGATTACCAGCATTCTTCAAAATATCTTCTATGTTAAAAATATGAAAGAATACAGGTTTGGAACGACATGAGTGTGAGTAAAGGATGACAAAATGTTCACTTTTGGGTGAACTATCCCATTAACAATACTGTTGGCTGCATTGTTTAATTGCCAAACTGGTTTTTTTTAGTCATTGTTATTCAAAAGAGGACATCAAAATTGAGTAAAACTAGGTCCTACAAAGAATATATTCTACAAGCATGGACCTACAAGCAATATATTCCCCTTGACATTTCTAAGCTTTGCATATTTGACAAACTACTGCAAAAAATTCTGGTAATCATAGAAATTGAATAATGTCAGAAGTTCAACCTGATCAATCCACAGTTTGCCCACAATGATGTTGTGCACGGTGGAGGTGACTTTACGCCACACATAGTGGTTTCCACTCGCATGAAACTGTAGGTGGATCACACCTGGTTAGACAGACAGATAATCAATGTTCATCTTTATCACAATATGACATACAAAATCAGGTGAAGTCAAGAGAGAAATACAGAATTAAATCCTCTGTGTGACAATAAATTAAATCAGCATAAACAATGATTATAGATTTTGTGTTACTTACAACCTAGTACATATGTGTACATTTGTTTATATGAAGAATAGTGAATTAGTGAGATGGTCAAGAGAGGAGAGGAGACTCACCCAGAGGCATGATAGAGAGGTATTTGCCACGGAACTTGCTAGCAATGGTGATTTCCTGCCACAGGGTCCAGCCTCGCTGTGACATCACATGATGAGCGGCTGCCGGCGGATGATGACTGACCTGAAAGATACAGGCAAATAGCAGTCGAGTGCTAAATATAAAATTCACCACTAGGGGGTGCTGTGTCATTATTCATTCAAATCAGTTCAGACATTCTATGTGTAATTCTGGTATTCTCACAGTCACCTTCAACCATAATTACCCCTCTGATCACTGAACCTTGCATGAGAAGCATTTCCAGTAATGGCTGAAGGTGACTGAAAATAAGTGTTGTGACGCCGCGTTATAATAAATTGCTTAATTTCTCATTTCCTCCCTTGTTGCTAAATTTATATGCTGCTTTCGATGTAAAATGAATTCAGCAGCAAAACTGTTTCTTCATCACCAAATCAGCATATTAGAATGATTTCTGAAGGATCATGTGACACCGAAGACTGGAGTAATGGATGCTGAAAATTCAGCTTTACCATATATTGGAAAAAAAACATATATTGGAGTGCCCTGTTCTAGCTGAACAACCGCTACTGAGGTGAATATAAATGCTAACGGATAGCTTTCCTCATAACACTGACCTGTTCACAGATGGAACGATAGCCGAATTCTTCCAGGCGGTCCAGTTCATAGGTCTCTCCCAGGAGAGGGTTGAAGGGCTTGGCCGTCCGGTGCACTGTGGTGGAGTATGAGGAGACGGAGAAGGCTGCGACCAGACACATCTGCTCCAGAGAGTTCTCACAGCGCGCCGCCTTATCCAGCAGCTCGTGGTACTCCAAATCCTCGGTCAAGCGCTGCAGCATGGACAGGGGCTCGTTGAAGTTCACCTGGACACGAGGAGAGAGGAAGACACCTGTGTCCCAATTCACATTCTTACTACATATTGTTGAGTATGTGGAGATACTGCAATCGTCTTGTGACCACAGATCCATTCTCCAAGTTTGTTTTGGAATTAAAAAGGTTAGCATCCAGCTAAATTTGTTACTTTAAAATACATTGTGGCAGCTTTAGCTTTGTATTCTTTGCCTTTTTTTCAAACTTAAGTTAAAAGAGAACTGTCACCTTCTCTTCCATATAGCAAAGGGTTGTGAACAATATTAGCTTAAAAAATACATAGACTCGAGTTCGAAAGTTTGGGGTCGATAAGATTTTTATAATGTTTTTAAAAGAAGTCTATTATGCTCACCATTTATATGATCAGTAAAACTGTAATATTGTGAAATATTACTGCAATTTAAAATAACTCTATTTTCATATATTTTAAAAAGTGATTTATTTCTGTGCTGGCAAAGCTTCAGCAGATTTTCAGCAGCCATTACTCCAGTTTCAGTGTCACATGATCCTTCATTCTAATATGCTGATTTGGTGTTCAAAATACATTTATTATCAATGTTGATAACTGGTGCTGCTTAATATTTTTGTGAGAATGGTGGTATATTCGTTCAAATCTGTTAAAATAGAAATCTTTTACGAATTTATAAATGTCTTTACTGTCATTTTTTAATGCATGAATAAAAATATTAATTTCTTTTTTTTAAAACTCACTGACCCCACACTTTTGAACAGTAGTGTACATGCAAATGATATATAATCTGGGCACATTTTGCTTACAGTTCTCAAAGAACAGCAATGCACTGATTCTATTCTTTCATTTAGGACCATTTCCCCAATATGTGATATCACTTACAGGCATTGGGATCTTAGAGAGTTCTTTGCCAATGCAATTCTTCATGATGCTCCACAGATTGAGCGAATAGTTGGGCTTCTCTGGGATCTGGGTCCGCCTCTTCCTGTGAGGCTGCAGCTCTTTCCCTGAAAAATCATTACTGCTCACAGAACACTAAAAAAGACACAGACAAGAGTGTTTGTATTAAAAAAACATCAGAAATTTATGAAATATATTTGTGCTGAAAGACATTATTTAAAGGGCCTGAGTGCCCTTGAGGAACGTAATGCATAAACACTGACAGCTGACTGATGCTCCATCTGTCTCAGAAAGTGAGTCACCGAGAGAAAGATGAAACGAGGAGAGCAGATATCAGTTAATTAAGATTTGGTTAATTGAGATGAACAACAGCTGTGAGAGTCAAAGATGAACACAGACCGCCTGAGGAAACATTCACAGTCACGCGGAGTCTACTGGATCTTTATGCCACAAGAAATACAGTGGGGTCCAAAAGTCTGAGGCCACTAATGAAAATGCTTCCACTTCACATTAGTACAATAATAAAAAAAAACTTTTCATTACAAATTTGAAGCGAATTTCAGGCTCTTGTAACAAATGATTTTTAGTATTTCAGAATGCCTTAGCATTTTGTTTGTCTCCCTTTTAAATTCGATTTTAAATCTGAGATTTGCATTGTTGTTTTTTGGATCCTAGTGTACAGGTGCATCTCAATAAATTAGAATGTCGTGGAAATTTTTGTTAAATGTGAGCCAAAATCATCACAATTAAAAGAACCAAAGACTTAAACTACCTCAGTCTGTGTGCACTGAATTTATTTAATACACAAGTTTCACAATTTGAGTTGAATTACTGAAATAAATGAACTTTTCCACGACATTCTAATTTATTGAGATGCACCTGTATATAACCTTTGTTTCAGCTCTTGTTTCATGTCACACTCACATTGTCTTCCTGGTTCCAGTCACTGGGCTGTCCTCCACTAGCACCACTGAGATTACTCTGAGAACGTCTGCACACACAAGAAAGAGAGAGAGAGAGACAGTAAGAGGATGAGATGCAGGCAAATAAGCAGAATAAAGGTGTGGCATTGTGTTTTACTGATGGAATAAAGGTTTCAGGAGTCAACCAGAGAACAAGAGCCTCTTACTAGGACCAGATAAAAAAAAATAAAAAAAATCACAAGTGTTATCCTCCACTTATTCACAACCGTAATGAATGAATAGTGAATGCGTGAATATATCCACACAATACATTTGAATGAAAAGCATAGTTTTTTTTAGGGCTATTCAATATAAATACTTGTGTAATAATTGATAAAATAATTATTTCAGAATTATAAAATATTTTATAAATTATATAATAAATATTGTATAAATTACATTAATTTATAAAATTGTTATTTCAGACATAGTTATTCATAACCACTTATAGTATTAAAATAATTGTTTTAGTGCAAAACATTTGGTCATTTTCACATCATGCTCATAATTTTGATTGGAATACATCTCATTCAGTCAGGTGGTCACATATGGTTGAGTTCAAATATGTAAATGCAATTGAAGCATAAATCAGACCCAAAAATTATGCATATTCATATGGTCGAAACTCCATGCAGCTCCCATACTACTCTCCATTGGAAATGAATGACTTTTGGTGTACTGTTTATCAGTAGGTAGTAGAAATTGACTTAAGAAATGTGTTTTGAATTCATTATTAATAAAATGTCTGCATTTAATCTTTGAACCACTATTCTTCGAACTCTCCTCAAAAAAAGGAAAATTCTGTCATAATTTATTTACCCTAATGTTGTTGAAAAACGTATGACTTTCATTTTTGGGTTAAGTGGGGATGAAGGTAACCTGTGGTGAGAGGGGTCTGTGGCAGTCACTGTTATAAAAGCAGGTGAGTCTTCCATGGCATCAAAATACTCTGTATCCTCATCTTCATCACTCGCCTCCTCTTTCCTGGGCCTTTCACTCACTCCTGTGCACGCACAAGTAGTCAAAAACAGGCACAACAGTACCATTACAGCAGTCATGCTGGTTTGCCATCATGCCATGTCTCATAACTGAGCTCATTCACTTCTATAATATTCATTTATGAATGATCACGCTGCGGTAGGGGTGGCGTGTCTCACCTGTGTCGGTGGCGGGCGTAGCGGGCGTGTTGACGGCGTGCGCGGGGGCCTCTCTCCAGGCTCGTTCCAGGCTGTTGTGCTGCTTGGCTAGTTGCTCAATGGTCTCCTCCAGGTGTGTGCGCTGCTCTCGCTCATGCTGAAGTACTCGCTGCCATCTGCGGCTGTGGCTCTCTGCCAGGTCCAAGAAATCTCGACACGCCTGCGCAGGAAGGTACAAAACAGGGACTAAACATAAACACAAACACAGAAGCTTCAGGAACAATATAAAAGTGCTATTTAGACCAGGGGGGCTTGATTCTGCTCCTAAAGATCAACCTTTGATTCAACCACAGATGAAACAGAAGAGCATGGTGTTAGGTGATGGGTTTGCTTCCCTGGGAGTGCATGAACTGAGATCATATACCTTGAATGCAATGTAAGTCGCATTGGATAAACCCTAACTAGACAAACTAATTTTTTTGGAGAACACAAACAAACTCCTGAAGATTATACTCGGATGTTTTACACTTCCAAATGAAACGAGTCTACATCTAACTTACCTAAGCAAGTTATAGCAATTTATTACAATATTATTCAAGCCGTTTTTCAGTGAAAAACCGGTCTATTTTATTTACTGATAATATATATCTCGGGGAGTAAATAGAAAGATCACTGAATCAAAAGCAACTTTTTTTCAGAGAAATATATTTTCAATCTGAACATGAACAACAAATGCAAACTTTAGCAAGTAGTCAAAATAACAGTGTAAATGATTTTCACAAACTGCACTCAAAATGAGAAAGAATATACTGAGTGCAACTGAACAAATAGTGCAAATGATCTTTGCAAACTATATAAGAATTATTTACATCGTATAACACCCAAACAGATCGAGTGAGCCCTTGGCTGTACTCCTCACTGGACCTGGTATCACCGTCAGAAACGATTCTACCGGGATATCGCCAAAATTCCAATGCTTTATCCTATATGTAGTGCTGTTTCATCCTTGTTTTTGGTTTGTGTTATGCCAAAGTTCTGCTGTGCATGGGTTATTTTCTGTTTGTTTTTATGTACACCAATACTTTCACTTTGCATTTGAAGAAAAAAAAAGAGTGTAAAAAACTTTCCCTTTGCTTTTGTTCAAAGTTCCAAAGAACCCCATGTGCTTTTTATTGGTTGGGTAGATGACAGTTTGAACCAATCTGGGCACAGGCTGGGACTAAGCATCAACAATCTTTCCTGTTTGGATCAGAGGAACAAACCACATGGGTTTCTTTAATGAATCAAACTTGATGCAACCACATTCACTACAGAGCTTCTGAATGTGAATCCTCTTCATGTGACTTTTTTTCAAGCATACAGATTGGATTAGTGGTTCAAAAGTAAGTAAACTATTAAGAACAATAGTTATTTTTAGCTGCAGGCGACTGTCTCAGTCTTTAAGGATTTTAAATATTTTAATAAAATAATTCCAACATAATTCACATTTTCAAAAAACAACAGAAACAAATAATCCTTTAAAATCTTTTATTTTTTAACTAAACGATTTTAAATTTAAAAAAAGTTATCTAAAATGAGATTTACAACAAGAAATTAAATGCATATATATTTTAAAAATATTTTACAGTAATATACTGTACATGGAGGTTAACACCATATGTAAATACCATTTGTTTCATTTGAAAATATATTACCATAAGCTAGAAATATATTTTAAAATGTTATCAATTTCAAAGCCGTACAGCAAATACTGCCTCCACATCCTCATCCTCTCTCTGTTTTCCCTCGCTATCTCCATCACGATAATCCCGGCTCCCAATTCTCGAGGGATCTTATCTGTCCTCCTGCCGTAGGCACCACACATGAATTCACCTGTTTCCTCATAAAAACGGTCCCCACAGGAAGAGATCATGGAAATACCTTGCTCTCTCTGCCTTCCTCTTTCTCCACCTTTCTTCTAGATTTCTCTCCTGACTTTTGTTTATTGTTCTTATCAAAATGTTTGTGAAATGCTTCACAACATCTAAGAAATTATATTTGACATGTCTATGACAAAAATGTTGAAAAGATCTGATGAAATTGATCATGGGTCGTAGCTCTATGGTTCAACTCAAAGCAGAAATGAAAGAGTAAATCTGATGGCCAGTGCACGTTCAGAAACACGCAAACATACAGACTGTCTATGAGCGGAGTCATGCTTTTTTTTTTGTTGAGTCTCGGATTAGCAGCATTGAGTAATATAAGCATCTAAGAGAGGTTACTCTTGGTCAACAACACGGTCACATGCTTGTACCCACAGGAAAATGTTATTGCTCAGAGGTTGCTCTTTCAAACCTCATTAGACTTTTTTCGAGTTCACAGTCATGGTTCAGTATAATTTTCAGCAGAACTATACGTCTCCATTTGCTCTCTATTTAATTTAAGAGATTTTAAAGAGCTTTTTTCCTTTCTATAGTCAAGTAACATTTATTTATATAGAGCTTGATACAATATAGATCACTTTGAACCAGCTTTTCAGTAATAAACAGGAGAAACAGCCTCAATGCTGCAAAATTATTCAATTAGGTAAGAATAAATTCAGTTCAATTGCAGAAGACAATACAGTGTCATTATTCATCCCAATTCAATTATTCGGTGTTCTCATTCCATAGCACTGAAACCTGAAAACCTAGCAATTTCTTCACTACATATAGTGCAATGTATGACAAATAGCATGTTTCTTGCTCATTATTAAGAATAATAACCCACACCACACATAGGTTTCACTAAAAATAACCGCTGTAACTAACTCAGTTTTTGTGAGAGCTTCTCTCTCATCAGAGCTCATCAATCACATTAATAACTGAGACTACAGTACAGCCACAAAGCAGCACGCAGTCACAACCAATCACGTCTTTTACGGTGTCACTGCCTCTGGGTATCTGCACTCTCTTCTTCTCTCTTGATCAATGTTTCTTTGTCCATCTCCCTAGTCTCATATGGAGGCACAATCACACGACTCATCTGACTGACCCCAGTCTGCTGGATTTATCAGGAACCACACTGAGCTCAATTTCTAACAAAATGGGCACAGAATCAGTGTCCAAAATTCACCTTTTACCACAACTGCCAATGGCAGATAAATTGAAAAAAAGTTACAAGATCCTGTAGTAATGCCAAAGTTATGGGTTCAATTCCAAGGTAATGAAAAAACATATAGCTTGAATGCAGTTGCTTTGGACAAAACGTCTGCCAAATCTATTTTTAAAAATTGAATGAATAAAATATTACATACTAAAAAATGTATATTTAAAAGAGAAAAAGTATACAATTATATATGCATATATCGCATTACATAGCTGTTTTTGTTGCATATTAATGATAGGTCATTGCAGGTCACTGTACGTACAGGACCTTCATAAAAACATGATAATTCTTATATTTTCATTTGGAGGCATCAATGCATGGATTAATGGGGAAAAACAATTTAGGCCTCATATAAAAATTTCTGCTAATAAAATTGAGGCAAAACTTCAATAAACATTTATTTGTATATCGTTGTCTATATTTTTATTATAACATCTATACATTTTTTTATCATAACCTCCATATATTCTAATCACTCAAATAATTTACATCAGCAAGCATCAGAAAATCATTTTACTTTTTGACTTAAAGTAGGTATTATGTTACAGTCCCTAATAAAGTTTCAAGCCAACTCGCTAGATTTATTTACTCACCAAGTCCATATTTACTTGCATTTGGCGCGTTGCAGATGCTAATTTTGGACCTTGTACAGAACATAGTTCAAAAGCAATAGTATAGGTCTCTCCACTCTTTGCATCCCACTTACACTTCTGTGCCCTTAAAGTCCACAAACAGAGCAACAAACCAGCCCTTACCTGATTCCTGTCAGCACTACGTGTCCAGAGCTCTGCTGTGAGAGAGGATCCTCTGTGCTACGCTTAGCATGTGACTGTGGCTTCCTCACACGTTCATGAAACTACAGCTCCTCACCTTTAACATATGCAAACTTCCACTTTTTTTGCTGAGTGAGACCCTGGGCCCCAGACTGCTCGTGACTTAAGGAAGAGCTTAGAGGAAAGAGACGCATGTGTGTTATACATCCACATATTCGAGAAATGCCATTTAAAATAGTTGAGGGGGAGGGAGAGCCATGTGATTCAGTGTGTAAAACTGAAAGTTGGTTCACTGAATTTAGTGAAATTCAGTGAGATTCCCAATAATATTTCAACATGTCCAGAATCTAGATAGAGTTTCACTTTGGTTTTGTGAAACTATTCTTATACACAAACACAGCAGCTCAAAAACTATTTGGACACTTAAAGTCCGTGTAAAGTCAATATTAAATGTGTGTTCTGAGTTTATCACACCACAGAAAAATGTGTTATTAATAACCACCCAGTCAAATTTGAATACTAAAAAAAAACGCCAATTGAATAAAATAAGCTATCAAAATCTTGAAAAAATAAGCAGTATTCTCTGCACTCAGACGCTGGGGGAGTGTCCGCTGGCGGCGCTGAAACCACGCCCACTTGCGGAAAAGCTGTCATCTCTCTCTCAACTGTCTTCCTCTGCAGCTTATTTAAATGAGGAGACCGAGCTGTTTTGTAAATTATTGCAACCAGGTATTATGCATTTACGTGACGAAGGCATAGCTAGCTAGCAACCTCTAGGCTGTAGCAACGAACGGCAGTAACTCGCGATTGAGCGTGCAAACCACTGCGCTGTAGTTATTAGGTGTGTTCGACCAGTGTATGACACGAGAGCGATTCGAAAGCATGAGGAGTCGTCTGCTCTCTCTAGCTCTGTACTTTGATGTCACACACCGATCGATCTGCGCAGTGCTGCTTCAAGTCGAACACACATCTTATAGTGTTAGGGGCGGGGCCATGCTCGGTGGCTCCATTGCGTCATCGAGCCACCATTTTAGCCCCGCCCAAAAAAAATCCTGAACACAGAATTGGTGAAAAACTGTTTAACGGTTTAACTCCACAATTCAGTACTACATAGGGATGCAACGATTATCGTGCTGCGCACGTGTACAAACATTCAGGAGGACACAGACTTCTTGAGAATGCTGCCCCGTGACTTTTATTAATAAAATAGATTAAAAAAAGAGACGCACAGACGCAGGTAGGCTAATCCACACAGCCAACTGTCACCTCTCTCTCTCTCTCTCTCTCTCTCTCTCTCATAATTAATTCAAGTAGCTAAATG